TTATTTAGGTTTTGTAGCCTTTTACAGCTTACGAAGAGAAATCCTGGCACAGCTTTTTAATTTTGCTTTGCTGACGTAGTCAAGAAGAGTAAGTTTTTATTACCTCACTTTTCTCTACCTTAAGAAGTCTCAAAGTGGCTTATGATCCCCTTCCCTTCCTTTCCCCACAACAGGCACCTTGTGAGGTAGGTGGGGCTGAGAAAGTTCTGGGAGAACCATAACTGGCCCAAGGTCACCCAGCAGACTTCATGTGGAGGAGAAGTGGGGCATCAACCCTGGTTCTCCAGAGCAAAGTCCACCACTCTTAGCCCCTACACCCCATTGGGGAGGGTGGTATATAAATCTAATAAAACAAATTAATTAAAAACACACCTCTCTTGCTCTCAAGCGCAGTCTGTATTCACAGGTTTCATATAGTTCTATGGGACGTGCTCATCTTCAAATGGTCCATATTAACCATTTTGAATACAGCTGTAAAAAGAAGTTAGGGGAGACCTCTCCTTTTTTTGTTCTCAGTAACCCATTGTGTACAGAGAACTGACGGTGGGATTCCTCTCTCTAGGCAGCTCAGATACCGCTAAAGAAAAAGACGCCCTCCAACTCCGACACCAATGTGGATGTATCTGAGAACAATGAGGTACGTTTAAGCTGCGGCTTTACCCAAAGCGTCCTGGAGGCAAATGATCTTGATGTGGTTCTGACTTGTGGCCATTTAGTGGAGTCTCCTGCATTACTGTCATGCACCTGCTGTTTTTCAGCTAACCTGTTTAAGTATATAGAAACACATTTTAGTGTAACAGGAAACGTTCTGTTTGAGAGAAAGCCTTTAAGCTGATAATCCTGCCCGTGAAAGGCATAAAATACTCGTGTTCATAGATCAGCTGCTGTTAGGGCATGCAGAACTTACCAATAATAACTCCCCACCTAACTGTATCTGAAGCAGTGAGCAGTGACTCATGAAAGCTCACACCCTCCCACACATTTTGTTAGTCTTTAAGGTGCTGCTGAACTCTTGCTCTTTTCTACACCTCTCCTTGCTTACTGTTGTCTTCCGCTTCCCACTACCACCTTTACCAGAATCTGTTGGTTCTACGCCACAGAGCTTGTGCTGGTTTTTGATTTAATCATGGGATAACAGATAAAATATCCAGTACTGACCTTCACTAAAATAGTCATCATGCCCAAATGTTCCAAGAACATTGTTGCAGGGAGATGGGCAGATATCAGTATTGCAGTATCATAAGAACATAAGAGATGCCAATGCTCGATCAGGCCAAAGGCCCATCTAGTCCAACACTCTGTGTCACACAGTGGCCAGAAATACCAGGTGCCATCAGGAAGTCCACCAGTGGGGCCAGGACATTAGAAGCCCTCCCACTGTTGACCCCCTCCCCCAAGCACCAAGAAGACAGAGCATCACTTGCCCCAGAGCCCCTATCTATACCTTGTGGCTAATAGCCACTGATGGACCTCTGCTCCATATGCTTATCTAATTCCCTTTTGAAGCCATCCATGCTTGTAGCCGCCACCACTTCCTGTGGCGGTGAATTCCAAGTGTTATAAGAACATAAGGCAGTCAGACCAGTGGTATCAGGGCAGTCAGACCAGTGGTCCATACCGCAGTAGTGCGAGATCAGACCAGTGGTCCGTCCAGTATAGCATTGTGTTTTACACAGTGAAACAAGGGTGTGGAGGGCTCCATTTTGTCATCACTGATGGACCTGTGCTCCATGAGTTGGTCCATACATCACTACAATATGTGGTGGTGAATTCCATAAATTAATTGTCCTCTACGTGAAGAGAGTACTCTTTACTGGACAGCTCCATTTCGGTTGATTGTTCTGCAGTTCTCCTCCCTGAACACTGAAGCAACGAATTCATTCAGTGTCGCCCTGTCGTCTTTTACCAGTCCTCTGTCATTGAAGGGCCCCGTTGTCTCTTTGGATGGTTTCCTGCTTCTGTGTCATTAAAGAGATTCACTTTGAGATAGCAAGGTGGTTGTCAGCTGCAGCCCTTCAATCCATAGTAGCTTTCCTGTTAAATAGTTTTTGGCTGTTTGTATGCTCACACTGACGTGCATGTAATAACACAGTGGTAAGCAGCAAGTGTTCCTTCATAACTGGCAACACCTTTCTCTCATCCAGCTTCCTACCCCAGAATGTACGCCGACAGTTCTCAAACGCCGAGAATCTCAACCTGAAGAAGCTGAAGAGAAAGAAGTAATTTTGAGACTGCCGCCTGCAAGTAAGAAGAGGAAAGCTACGCGGAAAGCAAAAACCGCCAAGTCACAGGAGAAAACTGCAACTCTCGAGCAACAGACATGTGAAACATAAGCATTCCTTTGCACCAAGGACCCTGAGTAAATAATGAACGTTCCCAACAGTTTTGACTTGGATGTTAAATAGGACTCAGTAGGGTTTCTGTATAAGGTTCCCTGCGTTCTGTGGTCCTGAATACATCCCATCAGAAGAAATAGAGTTCCAGTAACCTTTACCTAAGTAGCAACCTTTTTAGTTGCTACTACTTTGAGACATTAAGGACCAGAATCAAATGGTGCAATGGATGTCTACTGAAGAACAGTGGGGAAATTGGGGGGGGGGGCAAATTACAGAGATCTGTGGAGTACAATCCAGGGTGTTACTCTTTAACTATAACTTGGATTCTGAATAAATTTCAAATGAAAAGCAATGAATGGTATGATTCCTGGAATATAGTGCTAATCGCTTCTTGTTGTGTGGGCCCCCAAGTCTGAGAACTAGGTGGGGTACAGCTAGGCTTGCCGGGTCTCTCCAAGCAGCCGGCGGGGGATGGGGGGTACACTTACCGGGAGCAGGGAGGAACGCCCAGCATTTCAATGGTGTGCCTACATGACCCAGAAGTGACATCATGTTGGGGGGGGGGGGGGCTCTGGTGCTTGGGCAAAATTCTATGGTAGAATTAGATTCTACCATAGAGTTTTCGCCCAAAAACCAGAGCATTACCCTCAACGTGCCTACGTCACTTCTGGGTCACGTAGGCACATTGATTTAATTTCTGGTGTTCCTCACTTTTGGGGTGGGGGCCAGTGGGGTGGGGGCCAGCTGGCCAGTGGAAGAGAGAAGAGATTGGGTTTATGCCCCGCCCTTCACTCAGAGTCTCAGAGCAGCTTACAAACTCCTTTCCCTTCCCCTCCTCACAGCAGACACCCTGTGAGGTAGGTGGGGCTGAGAGAGCTCTGAGGGAACTGCTCTTTCAAGGACAAGCTCTGACAGAACTATGGCTTGTCCAAGGTCATCCAGCAGCTGCATGTGGAGGAGTGGGGAAATCAAACCCGGTTCTCCCAGATTAGAGTGTGCACTTAACCATGGGTGTCTGACATACCTAGGTACAGCTCCTTGTGCCTTAGGCTAGTTTTGCCTTGGAGTGTGGCTGGGAACACGCAGCAGTGTATCACACCAGAGGCAGGTAGGAGTGAAGGCCTGGCTGTGTGTCTTGACTTGGTCTGTGGACCATCCTGCTCCTATCCAGCTGTCCCCACAAGCCCCTGCCATTGTGGCACTCATTACTCAGCTGCCCGTCATGTAGTACAGTGATCCCAAAACTGGCAACCGTGGCACCCACTTGCATCTTCCCCAAAGCAAAGAACTACTCCCAGCTTTCTTCTGCTTCATTGGTGTAGGAGGTGCCTTCAGAGGAGCCCGTGGGAATTTCCTTAGTATCTTCAGGCAGTACCCATTCACAAACAGCTGTCTCTGTCATGGGGGGTGGTTCTTGCTTGGAACCTCCTAACGTTTGTCATCAGTCTCAGCCCCCTGTGGAATCCACTTTGTTGTAGAACCTGCTGCTTCACTAGATTCCAGATGCGTTCAGAGCTTCAACGTGGTCGGGGACACTGAGGAAGTTCCAAAGTTATGTTGTTCACGAGTAACTGAGGAAGCAACTTGGAACAATCTCACAACAACAGGAACATACCCGAGTTCAAGTTTATTCAGGTTTAATAGCCCAATGGCCATCCACCGTAAATCTATAAAGAGTTTTAAAGCACAGTGTAATGATTTCATGTTTTGGTGCGTGTGTGTCTGTAAATGTTTAGTTTGACGGCAGTACTGTAAGGAGAGTGATAGAGGGAGATAAGTGTGATGTGATTGGCTGATGACTGAGTGTGGGAGGAGAGGTGTCTATAAGGTCATTCTGTGTGTGAAGTTTGAAGAGAGATCATAGCCTTTGTGACTATGGGAGTTTTTGAGTATTCTGTGTGAATAAGACAAAGAGTTCAGCTTGTGTGGCTATATAGATGAGAGAGAGAGATTAGACTGAGTGTCTACACCTGTCAGAGTGGAGTTTTGGGAGTTTGAGAGACTGACACCAAGTTTTGCCAGAAGTTCCTTTCATCAGCAACAGTTCAAAATAACCAGAAACCTATTTTGTTCTTTATTAAATAAATAAATTTTTGTTTAAACTTATCCCAGAAATCAGAATAGTTCTTCCTCAGGGCCACATAGTCCTCTAAAGTGCCCAGACCCTGGGTCATTCTACCAAAAGAGAGAGATTTGGAATTTTTGAATTCCTGGTGGCAGCAGAAATCTACAGAGAGGGTTTTAAAGATAAAAACAGTGTCCCCGATAAGAAGGACACCCCACACAGTAAAAACAGAAATTCACCACGTCTACCATACAGATTTTGCAGAGGCTGCTCAAGAGTAGTCTTAGTCTTGTAGTATCCAAAAAAGGTTAAATACTTCAGCATCTATTTTCTAAGCAATATCTCTCTTGCTGTTGCATGTTTTGGACAACAGAAGAAAATGAGATGGTGAGCCAAGTTCTTTCAGGGAGCAGCCACAATAGTGCTGGTCTGAAGGTGTTCCGAGAAAATGGTCCTTCATCTGGGCTGTTGGAAGCGCATTACAGCGTGCAATCATATATGGTCTCCTCAGTTTTGGGATTGTCAGCATGTTAAGATAAAGAGGCACGTCCAGGTTAGTAGAATATTTAATTCAGGGACATATCCTTTTAACCCTCTGCAGCTAAAGAGACAGTGGTAACATGTCTCTTCTGCAGAAGACTCCCCCCCCCCCGTCTCCAGCAAAAGTATCGATTGTATATTTCATTTGGACTATCACTTAAACCTTTTAACCAAGAAGAAATAAAGGCCAAAACTGTGAATTTCTTTTTGAACAATCACATTCACACAGATGTTTGCTTCCAAGCAGGGCTATTTTTGGGCAGGAACGCACAGGAACGGAGTTCCAGCTGGCTTCCAAGTTGGCCACACCCAGCAGGAACGCATTAGCATAATAGGCCACACCCAACAGCAGAAACTCATTCGGATTGGCTACATTAGGGGTGTGTGGCCTAACATGCAAAGGAGTTCCTGCTACAAAAAAGCCCTGGGTTTTGACAACAAACAAGGTAAACAGAATAAGAAGCAAAAGGTGGGTGTGGCTGGATGAGCACACTTCTGGTAACATGGGGGTGTGGCCTAATATGCCAATGAGCTGTGTTGTCAGGGGTGTGGCCTAATATGCGAATGAGTTTCTGCTGTTGGGTGTGGCCTATTTTTCTACCAAAAAAGCCCTGCTTCCAAGGAAGTAGCATATTTGAAAAACCGAGGGCCTGAGTCCCCTGGTCTGGGTCCACCTGGAGGACTGTAAGTCAGAAGTTCCCCACTGGGAATTCAGCTCCTAGGCACATAGTGCCCGGTTTGGATTGGGACTATGCTACACCTGGGGGGAGGGGGCTTGTGTCTTCTTCCCCATGCCATTTTCCAGACCCAAAGCAGCCTCCAGGAAGCACTATTTATTCCACTGGGGGAAACCTTTGTATGTCCCATCACATCTGGCATCCCAGTAGGCCAAACTCCCTGGGACTCTTTTGGGCTGGGGCAAATGGTGCAGCGCAAAGGCCTTTGCTGTATGCTGTGGGCCCTGCAAACCTAGGAATTGCCAAGTAGGAGGTCACAAATGCATGTGGATCCTGCTCCCCAGGAAGAAGAAGAAGAAGATATTGGATTTATACCCCGCCCTTCACTTGGAGTCTCAGAGCAGCTTACAAACTCCTTTCCCTTCCCCTCCCCACAACAGACACCCTGTGAGGTGGGTGGGGCTGAGAGAGCTCTTTCCAGAACGGTCCTTGAGAGAAGAGCTCTGACAGAACTACGGCTTGCCCAAGGTCATCCAGCAGGTGCAAGTGGAGGAGTGGAGAATCAAACCCCGTTCTCCCAGATTAGTCTGCACACTTAACCACTACACCAAGAAATAACATAAGTTCTGATTTGGGTGTGTTTTATGCTGTACAGGTTCAGACTCAAGGGCAATTTCCATTACCAGGCTTTTTCCCTGACTTCATTCTACAGTAATAAATCACAATCTGCGCATCTGCTACAAAGCAAAGGCATGAAGAAAGTGGGGTTATAAGATTATGCATTTTTCCTTTTGCAAAATGTCCTTTTCAGTCTGTAACGGACAAGTGCTTAACACTAGGGGGCAGGATTTCTCATGAGTTGAGAAACCAGCCCTTTCCCCTTAATTCGTGAATCAACCTGTTTTTGTGTTGCTGGAGGGTTAAGCTGTAACCAGACGAAAAAGAAACTAAAAGGAAGGAATTACCATAGGAGGCTGGGAGAGAGAGAAAATGAGAACTGATTGTGCGAAATACATTTTCTCTTCCACTCCTGGGCATGAAACCCACAACACTTCAGCAAACAAAAGTCAGGATTGCGGGGGTCTTGGGTCATTGTATTCTCTGAAGTGTTCATGTTATCAGACCTAGAGCCCCAACATTTTTAAAGACATTTTGCTTTCGAACGTAAATGCACTGCTGTAACATGGTCTCTGGAAGAACACAAGGAAGCTAACATGGTCTCTGGAAGAAAACAAGGAAGTTTCATTTTCGGTTGCAGAAACGGGCAGGCCGAGGCAGGTTTTGCCGGGGACAGGAGTTCCCTTTTTCAGTCAGGGTGTGCCCTGGTGTATGACTGAATGTGAGGCGTGGACACAGAGTAAACAAGAAACGCTTTCTTAAATACTGTAGCAATTTTTAGGGTCATATATCTATATAGTAGAGACAGAGGAAAACTACGGTAAATCTGCAGATTGGGGCCATGTGGGTGCTAAACACATTTTCCAGCAACCTTGGGGGGTGGGGGCTCTCCAGGTTTGCAGAAAAATCTGGAATGTTCAAAAAATCACACGGGGGGGTGAGGTTAATCACACACCCCCAAAGAAAAATAGCATTCTCTATGCATACACAGAGAACACACCTACCTCTGGCAGTTGTCGGAGGACCCTGGGAGCCGCACTGGGTTCAGTGGCAGAGCAGCCCGGAGCTCTGCACTGGGCCCAGTTGCAGCCATGCAGCCTGGGAGCCACACTGGGCCCGCCAGCAGCAGCAGCACAGCCCAAGAGTTGTGCTGGACCTACCGGTGATGGAGGCACAGGTCTGGGAGTCATGCTGCGTCAGGCCAGGTGAGAAGGTGGGGGTGAATCCCCTCATGAGTATCAAGGGTCAACTCTTGCATATCTATATGTTTATTTTAGGGGGGACGGACTCAAAATCCAGCAACTATTGTTTTCAAAAAGAGACAACAG